GTAGGTATGGTCGTATGTGCTAATAACACCACGAATTGGTCACTATAACAGATCACTACAGTGGATGACAGGACCCGGTCTTACATGAGAATTTGCAACGGCGAACATGCGCATTATTGAGTCAGTTATGTTCCATTCAGACTAGATAACACTATCGCGTACTAGATCGGGCATTGACTCACTCCCGTTTGCGACCTGGAAGCCACGCCAACTTGGGGATAAATCCCGACATCTTCGTATACTCGGTCTCATCAAGCTCTTTCCCAGTCTCCAAATCCGTCACGATGATAATCAGCTCACTGACCTTGCCAAGCCGATCTCTGAAGTCCTTTGCTGGAAGAACCCTAGTCGCAGCTGGTTTACGGCAGCAACCTGTGTTTGGTGGACCTTGCTCTTCACTACCACGTCCCATACCAATCCACGTGACTTGGCCAATGAAGTCTGGGTTGTCAACAACAGGCTCCGTTGAAGCTGCGCTGGCGGTGAAAATATAAATTCTGTACATCCTTGTCGAAGCTAAGCTCATGGCCAAGCCTGATACTGGCCGTGTCAATCACGAGAAAGTCTTCACTTATGATCTAGAGAAGAACTTCATCCAGGCCATCGAGCAAATGATGGAAGGCAAGGGCGACTTGGAGAAGCTCAAGGATGAGTACCCTGAAGCTGAGTTCTTATTGAACTTGAAGAAGCCTCTGATCGAGCATCAAATCCGCATCCCAAACTACACAAACGCCGTCGCCAATAAGCTACAGGACTCACAGTGGGTTCTGCAATACCACAAGCTCGCCGAGTCTCGTCGCTGCATGTTTAGACTCATGCCTAAACTTTTTCGGCAGCAACATCCCCTACTGTTTAGCCATGATTATCTATTTAAGGTTTTTGAAGGTCAGTTATCAAGTCGTACAGTTCAAATTAACACAATTAAATAACCACAGATATAAACCTTCTGCTAGAAGGTTCAGGTCCAAATATATATACGCAGTCATGCCGAGTTAATAGTTAACTATAACTATAATACGTACTATAAAAGCTTTCCTCCTTTCCCCAGGATGTTAGCTGTCAAACGATTCCTCCACATCCACATCAACATCAACATCAACATCAGTCAGGATGACATCCCAAAAATTGCGGTGTTGAAAGCTAGAAAGTCAGAAGATAGAAGGTTCCGGAAGGAAGGAGGAAAACTCTGTAATTCACGGATGGAAAAACCTCTGTATCCCAGAGATAGTTCAGAATCAACATGATTAAATTCAACACAATGGTTTAGCCATGATAGTGACTAATCCATGGTTGGAGATGACAGAGGAAGGGACAGTCCAGGAGATACTGAAGGAAAGCGCCGAAATACTGACAATCTGGCTGGGCTCATTGGCTGGCAACGATCCCGATATCATCCCCAAGGGATATCAAGGACTCAAGCATCTGAGCGACATAACGGATGTCATGAAAGAAAGACTTGAGAATGACCATCCAGCATTGCCAGTTCCGCTTCTACTTAGACCTTCAACCATGCGGATGGCTTATCGGCGCTCTATCGCGATTACAAATCCCGAGACTAAAGAACGTCCGCATAGTTGTCCTTTCTTGGCGGACAAGCATCTTACGTCTCAGCATCCAGCCATCTCAGCTTGAGTTTGCTGGTACACTATAGTCTTTCCCTGATTAAGCTCATACAAGTAGTCTCAATTGATCATCAAACCTGTCAAGTCCATTTTCTCAAACCTTGGTATGATCAGTGTGACTAGGTCTAGCTAGTAAAGTCCATCTTCCCATGCTTGGTCTTGGCCCTCGTCGCTCTCTCGGAGTACTGAGTCACTAGTCAGCCTAGCTGGGCAACAGAAGAAATGTCTTCTGAGGCTTAGGCTACCAAAGTAAAATGGTCTAAGTATTCTTCTAAATTTTGCATAAGATGATTTAACTATTTCATCTCTTATGCTTATGGCAACCAATTCTTTTAACACCCTGCATACGATTCATTTTAGGCAGCCATGACCGGCTCTAAAGCTCCAAAGCTCTTCTTTAAATATAGATATAATGATAACACGTCCTTTTCGCCTGATTCCACATTCGTGATGGTCTATTTGTGTGGCATCCAATACAGATTCTCGTAATGATGACAGCAACAAGCTGTGGTAGGTAAATCACGAGAAAATGTATGAGTCATTCCCCGTAAGTGATTACGGCGCGGTCGAAACTAAACATTATATATTTGGAATAATCTGCTACCCGCTATGAAGTGATGATGCCTTCTCTCACCTCTCAGTTAAATATCACACCATCAAAATGGAGCCTAAAAACACTGAAAGAAGCAGCACGTCTTTCCAGAAACGCCGGGGTCCGACAGCGTATACCAGTTTCAGAGATATGAAGTACCGCAAGCGCCGCGAAGATAGCATCACTATTTCTATTGATGACCACACTCCTTCCAAGATTTATCGAACCGGATCAACAGTCAAGGGAGTGGTGGAAATCAAACCAAAATCGCTGCTCCGTTACACAGGCATAGCAATCAAGCTTGTGTGCGATTCGAGTGTTCAACTCCCTGGGAGGTATTACGAAACCTTTTATCGCCATCTAGACCTTAACATGCCTGTCGAGGAGCGCCTGGTGCCTCGAGTAGAGAATGGACATCCGGTGAAGCGCTACCTTCACGCTGGTCAGACATACACAATACCATTCTCCTTTGAACTATGCGATCTTCACGACAGCCAAGCTTGCCCTCATGATGTGGTATCGTCATACGTCTCCGAGCTTCATCAGCAACTTCCACCGAGCCTCGCTGGCATAGATAGGGACGCCATGGTTCCATACGGCATTCGCATTGACTATACCATCATCGCGACCCTCGCTGACCTATATTGGGCTGGAAAAGAAGCTAGCCACACGATTCAATTCATGCCCAGATTCTCCAAGCAGCCATTTCTGGGTACTTCAAGCACGGATTCGACTCTGAAGCTCAGAGCGACACAGCAGCTAGGATCGAGAGATTTCTCTAGCAGCCCAGGGCAAATCACATTATCTGCAGAGGAACCTCACATTTTAGTTCTTCGGGACGGTGGCAGAAGCTATCAGACAACCGGAATCATCACATTCCTCCATCTAGAATCTTCCAAAAGTCAACCCGCTATGCCCTCCGAATGCATCCTCTCTGCAACACTCGAATCGCAAACATGGTCGCAAACAAAGCCTATGCAAAATCTTCCACATATCACCAAGGCAAAAAATTGCCACAGCGTCTCCAAACCCCTCATGAAAGATATTGAGTTTGACTTAGTATGGGAAAGGGTTCCCCCAGAAGATATGGGAATAACTGGGTCGAAAGCCGCCAACACGTTCAGGGCGCAGGTCATCGTTTTGCTGCCAGCCTTGTCGGCAGGCAAAAGGGTTTACTTACCGTCATTCTACTCTTGCTTGACAGCGAGGACATATTGCTTACATATTCTGGTCATTATCGCATCGGTACCGTTGAGATTGGCTCTGCCATTGCAGATGGCTCTCGAGAGTGACGAAGGGAATAATACCTGCCCTGGCAACAGCGTTGGTCTTCCTACACGTGGATCTTTGAATCACTCAATTTTGAAGACATGATAGTTTGAGTCATATAAGAATTTATTATTAAGTAGGTAGCCACCCTGTTTCCACTCTATATTTCCTTACAATACTAGCCAAGGCGCCTAACCTTTAACTCTTTTGCGGTTAGACACCTGTACCCGAAGGTGCAAGATGGTAACCGTTTATCGAAGTCCTTGAATAGCATTCTCAACTCGACCTAAACCTTGTGTATTTCTATCTGTGGAAGTGGTGCCTGTACCTCTCGAAGACGATGTACTCTTGTGGCAGGGCTTCTAGTACTTCGTTCAAATTTCCCCAACATCCTGTAATTGTTACATGGCAGGTTACCCCGAGCGACAAGGGGTAGTTGGCCATTATATTGGTGTTGCTGGTGGCTTTTGTCTTCAAGATGTCTGCGAGGATTGGCAGCGCTTCGGAACAAACTTGCTGTCTCATGGCTGGTTGTGATAGTCTTCGCTTGTTGGAGGAATGCTCGGTATCTCAAAAGGTGAATCGAAAGAGAGGCACCTTTACTTCTTTAGTCGCATGTGAAGAGCCGATATTCCCCGAGATTACTTCATGTTTCACCTCGTTTGAGGATAGTCTTGACCGGATGGCCCTCTTCAAACTCCTTCTCAGTGCAAAGCAGGTGTCCAGAAAAGTGCAATCTCCGCATTTCATAAACCCAGATCTCCACGGGACTCAATGGTACCTTTTGGTGTTTTTGCCACGTGTAGAACTCGTGGAAGACCTTCTTCTTTGCCAGTTCCATTTGCAACGCTTTCAGTGCGCGCTCCTCGAGCGGCACGGGGCCAGGGTCGGGAGTGTTTCCGGGAACGCGAGCCTTAGGTGTAGGCCACTCCCATATCTTGCGTTCGCCGACTTCGAGCTTTTGTGTGATACCCGGGTCAGAAGCTTGTGGCTGTTCCTTAATCTGCGCCGACTTGCCGGTGTCGTCGTTGGTCGGGCGTCTCCAAGACATCTCCATCTTCTCCTTCTTAGATATGCTCATTTTGCGAAACTTGCGACGTCGGTTGTTGGATGCGATTCGGGAGGAGTTGTTGGAATGTACCATTGTGTCAAGCGACTTGGGGGCGTGTGATAGAAAGAGGTGAAAAAAAGGAAATTTTGTCAAGTGAAGCATCTCATCATATATTACACTTTACTGATTGAGTCTCAGATTCTCGGCCATCAAAGTTTTCTCGCTCCATCAAATCCACGAAAAAACCATTTATGCTCGACGAATTCAAACTCACTCTTCCAGAAACTTTGCCTCATGCAAATGCTTGGAATACCGAACGAGACGATTTCTCCTCACCCTAGCGTGCCTTTTCTCCAGGTCGAGATGGCATCATTCTAATTCTTTATCACTTGAACATTCGTCTCGCTATTTTATTTTTCACAGTGCTTCCCCTTCCAAATCAACGTCAAGATATTGTTTGCCTTCCGTCCCGATAACCTGGGTTCAGCGGAAGGATCGTGTGCCATACTTGAGCAAGAATTTTCTCATCTGGATTTCCCATTGGCCGACTTCTGAATGTCTCGAGTATGACTGTACTGAGCTTAAAGCATACTGAATAATATAAATTAAGCTTCACCTGATCATTACGCGCTTATCTGCTGCATTGATGCTGTGTTTCCAAAGCATATCGAAGTGACGCTCGCGGTTAAATTAAAGAAGGTTAATCCAAACCATGGGTTGTACCTTACATCTAGCGAGGCGATCGCACGCTGTTTTGTTATGTCGTTGTTAAAAATTACAAAGGCTAGCAATAGGGTAGGAAGTGAGTTGGAACATGAGCCAATTGAAGTTTGCATCAAGGACGCGTGCCCCATTGGTCGCGTCATCTTGCTAACAAGAGTCCTGCGCTTGAAGGCGAGGAAATGTTAGTGGGCCAGCCCACAGTATGTTCTGGCTCCACTTTTCTGCCTGCCACGACAGGAGCACTACGCTGAAAACAGTAACCAGCACGGATCTTCCAGGTACTAGCCCCTAATTTACAGAAGGTAGTGGGACAGTGCTTCCCTGGAATCTCAGCAACCAAATCTTGATTTATTGTTGCATCCAATGTCAGGATCAGTCAAAGTGATCCTCAATAAAATACTTTGATTGATCGTCTGCTGTCAGCGAGAAATTCGAATGCGATGCTCATCAATCTCCAGAGTACCCTTTAGAAGTGTCTGGGAACGATGCATTGCCTCATCGAGATTCTTTTCGTCCCGACTCCCATGTCTTATCTCCAATCCACTTTGTTCTCAGTAATTTCCAATCCGCTTCCATCGGCCCGATGGTACCAGGGGTCCAACGACGATATCAATGCCAAATCATAGACAGGACGGAAACACATGTCTGGGTTGCTAGCCAAGTTCCATCGTGTCACTTCCCGTCTGCCCGTTCCGGCGAGGATACCGAGTACCACTATTACTGGGGATTCTCAACTATAGCTCCGTGGATTGCCATCGCCGAATTCCCGTTGAAGAACAAGTCGGAGGTCGGCAACTAGAATGGATTGAGAAGGTAGAGAACACTGTGGATTGACGTGTTTATCTCATGATATCATTCAAAACGTTTTGAGTTATTGCCGCCGAGACAATTCTACCGCAGTGACTTGTCGTCGCAAAAGCAACCACAATTGATATCTCCAGATGACCAACGAATTGCCCATGCACCAAATAATGGAGACGAAGCAACATTGCAGGACCACTAATTAGAAGTAAAAAGAGCAAAAAGAACATACAACACCGGGGATTCG